TGAACAAGACAATGTAGATGATAGGAAAGATGCATTATGATGAAGTCACAATGACTGTGGTACTGCATTCCAATGTCAAGAGTTATTTAAAATAATAAAAGAGGGGAGATTGTGAGCAGGAGTCATAAATTTGATTGCCTGGTGACTTTAGTCAATTTTCTCTCTTTTAATGTATTTTCCTTTTTGAAGGTGATTTAAATGTCCAAAGATGTGAATGGTCTTTGAGAAAAGAAATCTAACACAGAGGAAAGGGCAAAGATGCATGTGGTATGAGATTTGGTTCTAATTTTCTCCTTCTCACTGTAAACTGTGTGATTTGGGCATGTGGCTGGACCATTCTGAGCTTCAGCATCTCTGGATGTGTGAGTTGGTCTTGATTGTGACCTTCATTATTTGTGGGGTTATTGGAGTAAGATATACTTGAATTCAAACAGCTATGCTTCTAAGTGCATAGTCTTTTAATTTAAAGTTGAATGTATTAGGGCAACATTGGTTCACAAAACCATATAGGTTTCAAGTGTGTGACTCACCAAAATATCATCTGCACACTGCATGGTGTGCCCATTGCCTCAAGCAAGGTCTCTTTCCATTTTCATTTAGCCCCACTTGCCCACCTCCACCTACCCCAACCCCTTTCCTTCTGGCTATCACCACAGTAGTCTGTGTCTATGTGTTATATGTGTGTGTGTATAGTCTTTCTAATCTGCAAAATGACTGTTATACTTCCTCTTTCCTTAAATTTCTTTCAGGATTAGTGAAGATAATGAATATGCAAAGTGCAGCACCAAACATAGAGTCTGACCTTTTTTAAAAACCTCCATTTGCACCTTTCCAGTGGTTTGGATTCATATAAAAGGAAATACCTGAGTAGATAAAGATACTCAGGTAAGAAGAGCTGCTTGAGGTGCTAAAACTTCCTTTTCTATAAAATGGGAAGTCAGTGGTTCTTAGCTCTGGTTGCGCATTTGAATCACTGAGGACGGATACAAACATTTCCAAGTGTGAGGCTCCCCCCCAAAGACTGATTTAATTAGTCTGCTGTGGTACTCTGGCCTTGAGTTTGTGAAAGCTCACTGGTATTTCTAATGTGTACAGGATCAAATCATTGCTTCTTAAACTTTAACATAAATTACCTAGCAATCTTGTTAAAATGCAGATAATTCTTCCTTAGGTCTTGGGGGGGGGTCTAGATTCTGCATTTCTAACAAGCTCCTGGATGAAGGCTCTGATGCTGCTAGCCCAGGACCACACTGTGAGTAGCAAGATATTAATGATCCATAACGGTGGTTCCCAACCATCAGTGCTCATCAGAATTACCCTGTTGCTTGTTGAAAATACAGTGTTGAAACCTGGGTCTGGCCCTCACAAATTCTGTTTCACTTCCTTTAGGGAGGGACCAAGAGAATCACTGATCTGTAATATCTATTTCAACCTGAAAAATCCCATGATGATGCTAATTTTGTGATTTGATATTATTACTTCATCTTAGTTCAGTTGTTCAGTAAAATAAATCATACAGTCTGAAGTTGAGTATGTGTGATATCATTGTCAAAACCTGAAAGATGGGTAGTTTAAAGTGGTGTGATGTCAACCCTTGGCTGACCTTTATGCCATGGGTATCTGCAGCCACCAGAATTCTCCACTTGAGTTAATGGAGTCCTTCAAAGAACTCCCTCTGTGTGAGCAGAATGTACTCTTGACAAAACACTCCCGGATTAATCAGGAGAGCATCCTTCACCAAGGAGAGATGAACAAATGACTCTGGGCTTTTTTCTGCTCTCGGCAACACATCACATATCTAAAGCAGAATCCCTGGAGACATGGGCTCATCTTCCTGACCTTGGGATCAAACCAAGGAAAAGTGAAGGTGAGAGAAAATAACAAGCTATGTTACTCAGCAAAGTAGGCAAGTGACTTTTGAAAATCTCTGGGACTTCTAGAAGAAGTAGCTTCAAATTAGAATGAATAGCTTTTTTTCCTTCTCACCTTTCTGTGTTCCTCTTGTTCTTACTAGGTAAAAAAAAAAATTTCATCTTAGGGACAGGCTCTTACCACCTTACAAGAAAAATTGAAAAACTATTAGAGTAAAAAATATTATGATCCTGGTGGTATTGCTTTGGATAAACATTTTGCATGTTATTAACATAGAAGTGGCTGGCTTCCAAGAAGTTTATGAATTTGTAAATAAGTTGGTATAAGAATGGTAATATGGAAAATGAGAGACTCTCATATTTTCTTGCTTTCTCCTTTAAAAGTATTTGTACCTGTAAGAATACTTGATCAATCTGTAGAAATATCTATATGAACTCTAGGACAGACAACTCAAAAAATGTAATCATCACACACCAGTTTAGCTGACCACGTCCTCGGTCGCCCAAGTTCCAGAAGAAGGTACCAGGAAAATATGGCTACTTGACCTTACTAACATCCCTCTGTTCCTGGGTTGGGCTGACCAAACAGAGAGCCACCGTGCATTTGTGATTCAGCAGCAGCATGTGGCCCTACTTGCCTCAGATACCTTTCTTAAGAGCCAGCTCCCATGCTGCTCTCCTTCCGTTGGTCCTCAGGCCTCTGCCCTTTCACTCGGAGCAATTTATCAGACTGAAGGCCTTGTTATCTAGGGAAGACTTTGGCATGGGTTCTGAGTGGTAGGAAGCAGCTGTGAAGGAGCTGCAGTGATGCAATGAGACACCCCACATTACAGCGTCAGTGGAGGCCTGGAAAGGAGACTCTGGTGGTGAGCAGGCCTCGGTGGTGGGGCTCTGGATAAGGTGTTGGAAGGAAAGGGGCTCTTATCTTCCAAATGAAAGGAAAGGCTAGGTAGACAGGGAGTACCAAGACAAACTTCCATTATTTTTCAGTTTTTCTCTGAGTTACATTTTAATGAGGCCAAGAAATGATCACTGTGCTCTAATATTTATTTTTTAAAAGTTTACCTGAAATAGAAAGTTAAATTTTTATCAGCCCACATTTATTTGAAAGGCAGTGGCTTCTTTTGACATCTCAAACAGAGGAGAGATGGCCTTTTGCCAGGGACGTTTATTTTATTGATTTGCTTATGTATAGCATCTCCTATGTTGCAAAAATTAAGCACCTTGAAATCTTACCTCATTAATACACTTAACAACTTATAAGTTAGGCACTATTATTTGCAGGGAAGGGAACTAAAGATCAAAGAAGTTATTTTGCCCAGATTCTCTGTGTTGGACCCAGGATTTGAACGTAGGCAGTCAGGGTTAAGGGTGTTACCCTGGACCACCGTGTTATCTTGCCTCTAATATGAAGGAGAGTGTTCCTGTTCTGGGGTGGAAAGAGAGAAACTGGACTGGATGAACTGTTTCTTAAATGTTCCCTAGACTGGTGTGCCTGCTGGGTCATCATCATTGGAGCTCTTGCTTAAAATTCAAACTCCTAAGCTTTACACCTGGATTTCTGATTTAAGAAGTCTGGGATTTTTTTGGAAATAGACCTAGATGATGTTCAAGGAACCTCCAGTCTTACTACAAGTTCAAAATTCTTTGATTGAAATGTCATTCTTATTACCCTAAAATGAATGTCATATCAGAAAGCAGCAGTAGCTTATGCTACCACCTCCCATACATTTTCTAGTCATTCCAACTCTGGTGTCTAAACCTGTCACTGATGGTGACAATTCTGACCACTCCACCCCCAGCTCCATCTGCTGACAACCACCAAGCTGCCTTGAGTCCTCTGAGACTCCCACACCCTGCATTTTTCCTTCCGTTAAAAACCCAAAGCCTAATCTCCTTAAATGTTTAAACTATTTCTACTGCAAGGCAAAGTGGACAAGTTTATTATCTACAATTAATTGCCACCTCCTTTCCCTTGTTCTGCCAAGTTATGCAGCTCAAGTGGGTGACTCTACCATCGAACATTAGTCTCCCATTTATTTTGAATGGCCTGGACCCAGCAATGTTTAAACAAGGGACAGAAGATGGGATTGAGCCCTGCCTCAGCCCCCTTTCCCTTGTGTCTTCCATTCACATTCTCTTTCTGATATCTTCTTACTTGCAGACCCAGAGGATGCTGAAGGTTGTGGCTAGCCTCTACCCTTCTCCTACTTCAGTAACATTTTCAAGTCTTTTTAAATGGTTGAGAGTAGCAATGCTAGTTACAGACAGCCAGGTGGTGAGAAAAATTAGCTATCATATCACCTTAGTGAATTTAAGCTCTGCTGATGAGTGAACTGACCCAAACAGATAAACCAGATAAATTCTAATCATTTTTGACTCTAAGAAGATTGTATTACACCTGGAAAAATGGAAACAGAGAAGGAGGAGGCTTGCAAGCCCTCAAAGTTGCCATGAGAAATTGGCTTGAGAGTGAGGTAAAACCCATGTAGAGGACATCAAAACAGCATTTCCTTCTCAGCTCTGCCTTGTGACTTCCAAGAATTCAGCTACTTTTCTATTTAGGAATATAGGCATTGCCTTGCTCCTTAGGACATCAGCTGTACCATTCGAGATATGCTCAGCATCAAGTTGCTTTGTCTGAATATCCTAACTATCCTATGGGAAAGAGAAAACATAAAATATGCTAAAAAATTCTCCTGCCTCCCAGGAGATCCAACAAAACAATCCAGCTTCTTTCTGTACTCTAATGTGGTGAGAAAACATTCTAAATGTACTCTTGAACAGATGAGTGAGCAAACTGGAGCCTAGCTGACCATCTTGAAATATTAAATAAAAATGTACACATCAGCAACACTTCATAACAGGCACGATCCTTACTGTTCCCCATGTGCAAAGTTAATTCCTTGAGGCAGTGGCTGCGTTCATCTAAAATAGATAAGGCATCTGTGGAAGCTCCAAGCTGATCTCAGGAGCCTCTAATCCAGCTGGATTTCAGTCAGATAGGTCAGGGTGCCCTAGGTCTCTTCAAGTGCAATGCCCGCAAACTCAGCTTTTTCCGGGGGTAAAAGCATGCTTGATGCCTTTCAAACTTAACCTTTTCTCTCTTTCTCCCATTTTATGTATTACCTTGAGCTCCTTGACTGTAGAAGAATCTTTGAGCTGACTCAACATCCAAGAGTCTATGAGCAGACTCGACATCCAGAAAATAGTCCATTTTGGGATAATCCATCCTTGATGTTTTAAAAACAGAGTTTTAAGACAAAATCGTCACTTGTATACCTATGAAAGAGGAAAACAACTCACAGTATTTTAGCCTGTCAAAGAGATTTTTAAAGCCCTGAACATGCATATAAAAATTTAAATATACAGTATATAAATGTATAATTACATATATACTGAATATTTAAATTATACCATTATAATATCCCATTATTCGACTGGCATATCCAATTCTAAAGTCACGCTTCGACAGAGCTTTCTTACTGTATGAGAAAATGCCACATTAAACTAACATTCATTTAAAGTAATATATTCTACTCAGGAAAAAAAAACAAAAACCAGATGATCCAGTCTAAAGAGAGATGGCATACCAGTCTTTCCTTGTTGTATACTGACTGGAAAATATACAGTTAAATTCGTATGCTATCTGTTATTTGAAGGGATTTCTGATAAATGGCATCATTAAGTGTCAGCCTTTCTTAATATTGATCCTCAATTGATCTAGAGAGTTCTGATTCCCCTTGGGCAGCAAGAATAGCCTGGGAATCAGAGCCTCCACTTAGAGATGCTTTGCATTTATGACACATGCTGACATCTTTGCTGTAAAATGCCTTGAATTCTTTCCTTTATAGTGATTCCTTCCAGCACATTTTATAAAATGCTACAGGATTATTACCTGTTTGTCCCTGACATAGGCTGCTTTTAAGAAAGAATTCTATAGAGCAGCGACAATTATTTCAGAGTTACAATGATCCCCACAATATTATCATGCACTAGTCTGTCAGGAAGCTTATATACTTCACTGAAAACATTCTGCCTGTTGGGTTCTTTCGAGCATATGTAGCCTTTCCCTGACACTTGCACAAATGAACTATATTCTGTTTGTGCAGGATGCTTTTGGAAAAATCAACAAGACAAAGTCATTAAAATCAAGCTCAGAAAGCTAACCCAGCTATTTCTCTTTTTAACAGTGCACAATTTTAATTTAGGAAACCAAGTCTGGTAAGAGGAAACTTTAATAAATACCCAAAGGTACCCCAACAACAAATCATACTTACTGCAAAAAGAAAACAAATATCAAGGGCCAACTGCCGGCAATAAAAGCAAGAGCAATTTCAGCCAGAGAGTCTTTGATCTCACTAAACATTCCCGATGGAAGTAAACAGTTTTGATTTTTTTATTAGAATGGCAATGAATAACGTATTCCATCCACTGGACTTGCTTTTATCAAATAAAATGGCCCAGAACACGTTACCTTAGCAACAGAAGGTGACGCCAGCCTTAGCCTCTTTGTATCCTCCACTGTGAAAGAAGAAAATGACCAGTTTCCTATGTAAAACTTTGGCAGAAAACCATCCCCATCAAAATCTACATGTCAGTGTCACGTGGATCCATTTGCCATTCCCCTGTCTCCGCCCATCTCTTATGCAGGGAAATGTCATAATCACTAAAATAACGATTTGTGGTTTAATATTTTATTTTTATAGTCCCAAGTCCCAGTTTGACTTGTAATGATAACAAAATTATATGATTAAATAGTTAATATGATAAGAAAGTTATTTAGAAATTGTTGGGGGCACCAGTTCTTACCCTAATGCTATCTAGGGTGGTAGGGAAAGGTCATTTTAGCTAGCACACGTTAACTATTCTCCTGTTATAATTATTACGAAGATCAGCCATCGGCATCTAGGCTGAAAATAACTCTCTTGCCTTCTGTGAATCAGTCACTGGAAGACGCTTAAAAAGCTGTCTGAAATTTCCAAGCTTTCTAAAGAAGCATTATAACATAAATCTTTTGTGAGATTCCCATATCCACACCCCAACCCCCACCAAAAGAAAGGTAGCCAAAAAGATATATAAAAGAAAGAGTCTTAAAGTTAGCAGGTACTCACCAGCACTTGTTGGCTGCTTTCAACAGGACACTGAGCATAAAAAGAAGCTGTGCACGATGCTGAGCCTGCAAGCCTAAATGAACAGCTTCTAATTTTCCCTTCAATCTCAATTCAAGAGCATGAACAGGGGAAGGTGATGGATTTGCCCATTTTACATTGTGATGAAATGCAACCCCTAAAAAAGATCTGAGTGGAACTGCTCTTTAGAACACATTAGACTGCTAATTTAAGAAAATTGAAAGGTTTTGTTTTACTGTCTTTTATGTGTTCTCTCTGCTACCCCCTCAATTTAATTTGCATTTAAAATTATGCTTCTGTCTCCTCGGTTCTCCAAGGTGTGGAGTATTTTCTAATCACGACCGCTGCTTGGGTAGGGTTTGGTGCAGCGCCACTTTTATTCTGAGCTGCAAAGCAAGGTGGGTAATTATAATCGTGAGCCATATTCTGGAGTTAAATACAGAGTGCACATTTGATTTCACCCATTTCCCTTTATCCTTGTCTTTCTTCCTCATCCGGCCTCTTACTGCTTGGTCAAATCTTTTGCCCAAATCATACCAATCTGTCCACATGTATTCGTCTCTGTCTGAATGTAGCAAAATACCCCTAACACCAAAAAACAAACAAACAAACAAAAACCAAAAGCTTTGGTTGGATACTTGAACTTATGCTGGTTGAATATCCTTCTATCAAACCTCAGTAAGGATTTTTAGTCAGAATACTTGAGATCTGCTCATGAAAGGTATAATAATAGCCAAACATAAGCCCTCTAATGGGTTTTTTACAACCTCGTTGTACCCTTTGTTGACCAAGCAGAATTGGTAACCAGAATGACAGGGTGTAGGATTATTTGGGTTGTTAAAATAAAAGAAGTTACATTTGATATGCCTTGGAAGGGAGACCACCAGACTCTTCCCTTCCATGTACATAGCTATGCTGACAGACCCTAAGACAAACATAAAAAAAATCCTGCTATTTTTTCTTGTGGGTTTTTCTACTTATTCAGAACCAATTAGACACAAAGTTGATGTTGAAGAGAGTTAAGCCCGATGAAGGAGGTAGCTGAAACTACCAATTATACAGGCCCTTGTAGAAAAAGTCAAAAGTCAACTCTGGACTCAGAATGTAGGCATACCTTGGAGATAATGGGAATTTGATTTAAGACCAGCACAATAAAGTGAGTCATAATCTTTTTACTGTTAGAGGGTTTTGCCTTGAATTTGTAAAAAATAAACAAAAATAAAAAAACAAAAGCAAGCTATGCAATGCTTGTGGAGTGCAATAAAGCAAAGCACAATAAAATGAGGTATGCCTGTGCTCAAAGCTTTGCCCAGATCCAGGAACTTAACTTTTCTAAGGTTACATTTCTATTCAGCCCCCAATGGAGACATGCTGAACACTTGACATTTATAAGAGAAAGCTGGTTCCTTTAGCTTACAGTACGGTGTGGGCGAGAGGTTCTGAACTCTCTATTGTGATTCTACTGAATTGTAATGACTCATTTGAGAGAGAGAGAGAGAGAGACAGAGAGAGACAGAGAAAGAGAATACGCAATCTACTGACAAACACCAAACACCAATTATTTAGGTGAAGACAAATGAATGTGTGATTGAAGGAGATACTACATTGGAAATTTGAAAAATAGAGTTGATTCCCAGGGATTGGGGGATGGGCGTAGAGGTCAGTTAGTTCTGGAGAGCTGACCAAGAAAGAGAAATTTGAAATGTCTTACATATAATGTGAAAGGGTCACAATTTAAGAAAACTCAGAGAGAAAAATGTTAACTTAGCAAAAAAAGAAATGTATTTGGAAAGGGGATGATTGATTATCCACTTGCAAAAAGAGATTTCATTTTGCTAAATAATTAATGACTGGGTTCTTTAAAATAAATTGACCAGTTTCTGAACTACGTCTTCAAAAAAAATAATTTTACTCTCTGGGGAACATTGTTGTAGCTTATATATAGAAATATCTGTATGAGGGATTTTTTTAAGTGGGGAAGCATTGTAATGTTCAAAAGCCAATGTCAGAATATGATCAGCTCAATTCTGTTTTATAACTGTAACCAAAAGCAACATTTATAATGGCCCATTGTTTGGAGGTATAATAGAACCAGACAGAGAAGAAGACAAGGTTGGATCAAGTATTCAAAGTAATGTTTATGTAGCACTGAACAATTCAGCCCACAACATCCTCAAGACGTCAGTTCTAAAAGTTAACTCAGTGTTAACATCTCAGTGAGCTAGGGATATTTTTTAAAAAGCCAAAGTACAATTTTATCTTTTAATTGATGGTATTACAATATGAAGGTTTAGAACTGTAAGGCTGAAACAATATAGGACTATTAAAAATACAAGACCTAGAGATGTGTATACGTTTCTGTTCGTTTTGGTAGTAAAAGGATATGTCTATATAGAGAAGGGAAGAAGTATTTGACTAATTCAAAATGGGAGCATCTATCAAGATGAACTATGAAGACCAGTAAACATATCAGCTGTGTTAATTTCTTTGAGGTATATTTATTTATTCTCTTGGATAGCACAAGTCCCAAACGTTCTGGGAAAGAAGGTCACATAATTTGTAAGAAGGTCACACAATTTGGCCCTTTTTACATTACTGGATTGACTTTTATCAGAGTCCGTTTGGGCTTTTCTGTTTGCTAGGAGATAAGGAAATTTGTGTTATGACAATATTACAATTAACTTTACATGTTTAACTGCCATAATGGCCTTTTAAAAAAAATTGCAGAGCTCCCTAAAAGACCATGTTTTACATTTGTGTTGGAATGCATAAAGTTCTGTTCTCTAATGCATGAAATCTTTGGGAAGTTTCTTTTTGCCCAACAAAAACTAGTTTAATTTTAAAATATTAGAGGCTCTGTTAAAGTATGAGAACATTTTGCATCCCTTGGTGGGGTAGAGTTGGCAGATAACCCCAAAAATCTAAATTCAGGACTGACTCCAAAAAACTGGCATGTAGCTTTATTCAATTTCATAAGAGATTTAGTAGGAAAAACTTAAACAGAGTGGCAAAGCTGCTGTTCCCAGTGGTGGCCAGCAGGGAATAAATCCACCCCCTCCCAGGATGAGGTCTCTTTTTATAGGAAGTTCATAGTAAATAT